ATTATACTCTATATTATGTATTAATAAATGTTTTAGGATCATATTCTTTGAATCGTATTAAGAAAATGATCATGTTTTGTTGAATTCGTGATATAAAAGGTACATTTAGAGTTGTAGTTAAAACTTTTCTTGTAAATTTTAGGATAATAATGTTGGATGTACGGATACGGGTATTACCCATGGGTACCCGAAACCCATGGGTATGGGGATGGGTTTGCCAAACATTCCCCCGCATGGGTATGAGGCGGGTATGAGTTTGGATATTTGAAGATGGGGATGGGGATGGTTTAGACAAACCCGCCCCATTGCCACCATCCCAATTCTAATTTTCCAGGTTTATCCGCATGGCTGGAAAGGGTTAATTAGTCTTTCCGCATCTCATCTATTTTGGTGTTGTAAGTTTCTCTATTATTTTTTATGTACAAATTTCTCGATCTTAACAGCCTGACCCAAACCAACAAGAAATAAATTTACTAAACGCCACTAGATTCATCCCCTTAATATAACTTTTTCCCCTACCCAATGATTAAGAAAAATAATATCTTTTCGGTCCAAAATTTTATTGTTAAAAGGCCTAATCATCTTCTAAGTCATAGAAATTAGATAAGAAAATTATTTCACTAATGAAACCATCTTGATTTCTACAATAGTACTCAACAATTTATTTAGTGAAATAGTATTCTTGATTTAACGAATAACATATGGTATAAGCAATGTCTCTGTTATTACCAAACAAAAATAAAATAAAAATTTAATGTGCATTACATAGGTACCGGGTAAAACCCACGGGTATATTGCAAGTTGTCCATCAATATGAATATTTCTTAATATTTGTACAAAACAGCTTAATTTTCGCGGTCTGACCGATCCATGAAAATAATATGGCTAACACGTAGTTCCACATTAGCCACTAGAATTACTTTATGGACTTTGCTACGGTGACATGCATGTCACGGTGACATGCACTTTTCGGTCGACCTCATATAAGATCAGGTCGACCTAATCAGTTGTTTCAGTGTACAAACAGTTTCATGGTGCCTACTTTGGAGATTCATATCTTACAATTGGCTAGATGGAAATTGGAGATTAAAGGCTTGTTTTGAAGCTGAAGTGTCCCTCTACACATTAAAGTACTTGGGAGCTCAATAGAAAGTCCAGAAGACCATTTTTGAACCTGACCAAAAGGCTATGCCAAAACTGGGAAACTGCCTGAAAATGGCCAAGTCTGGCAACGTGTTTGTCAAGCCTACTTTGGAGCTCAATTTCACAAGCATGGATGCGAGTCAAGTCCAGGGGCCTTTACCACGTTAAATTACGTATTTTTTTATACAAATGCAAAGCATTGAATGAAAGATTGAATATCTTTAAGGCTTCAAACAAAAGGCTCGAAGTTGCTACGAAGGCTGTTTTTCTGGCAGCTTGCTTGTGCTCGAAGTCTGCCAGAAAAACAGCCTTCGTAGCAACTTCGACCCTTTTGTTTGAAGCCTTAAAGATATCCAATCTTTCATCCAATTCCTTGAATTTGTATAAAAACATACCTAATTTAACGTGGTAGAGGCTCCTGGACTCAACTCGCATTCATGCTTCTCGAATTGAGCTCAAAAATAGGCTTCACAAACACGTTTCCAGACTTAGCCATTTCTAGGCAGTTTCCCAGTTTTGGCGTAGCCTTTTGATGAGGTTCAAAAATGGTCTTATGGACTTCCTATCGAGCTCTCAATCACTTCAATATGTAGAGGGACACTCCAGCTTCAAAACAAGTCATTAGTCTTCAATTTCCATCTAGCCAATTGTATGATATGAATATCCAAAGTAGGCACCATGAACTGTTTTTACACTGAAACAACATATTAGGTCGACCGGATCCTATATGAGGTCGACCGAATCCTAAATGAGGTCGACCGGATCCTATATGAGGTCGACCGAATTCTATATGAGGTCGACCTAATCCTAACTGAGGTCGACCGGAAAGTGCAAGTCACCGTGACATGCATGTCACCGTAGGCACACCCTTACTTTATTCCATACGGAGTCACTTAATTTATTCCGGAATTTTTTTTAATTATTTTTTAATTTATTGTAATAATGAGGTGGAAATTATTAAAAATTAAATTTTATTATTATTTTTAATTGCCACGTCATTTATTTAACGGTCAACTATAAGAGTTGACTGCCACATCAGCAAAAGTTAACGGAGACTAACGGTCAGTGACCAAACTTGAACTGTTAAACTAATTTAAGTGACTACGGGTGGAATAAAGTAATTCTAGTGGTTAACGTGAATTTTACTAGTAATCCAAGTGACCAAATTTGCAATTTAGCAAAACTAATATGTATGAAATTGATGAGATAGATGATATTCGTCCAAGATAGAATTGACCACGACTAACAGGTAAGGATCCTTGGAAAATTGTTAGTTTAGAGTTGAGTTTGTTTGACAAAGATGAAAGAAAATTTATTGGAGGATTAGGTACCTCAATTTGTCTAAAAAGTATTCACAATAATCTAAACTAAACATTAAGAGTGATTAACTAAGACTTAGACATGAGTTACGAATATGAACTCATGGATTGTTTCTCTTGGTTGGGAAACCTCACTAACAATCTTGGGCAAAATCACAAGTTGGTTGGATCTGGTGGTGAAGGTAACAATGTTGTTGAGAAGAAAAAGCGGCTATTCATTGTGGAAATAGATGTTTCGATGATGAAGATAAAGAGAAAATCTCGGACAATGGCATGACTTAGGCAAGGTGAGTTCTATTTGCATTGAAATGATGTTTGAAATTTGCAAGCTGGTGGAGATGATGATGTTGCTAGGGCGGAGCAATTGCAACGAAGTTAAAAGGAACGGAGTTTAATTCCCCTACATGAGGTATGTTTTCAATTTTTACTTTCCATAAAGACTTTCGTTGATTAATCAGGTAGATTGTCAGAAAACTCTGTGTTGTATATTGTTTTTGGAATACTTTTTTAATAATTCTATTTTTATTTATACTATTAATGAAATTCATCGGGCAACGAATTCATATTTATCGTGTAGGAGAAACAACAGAAGCCGTAAAATTGCATACAATGAGTTGAAACAGTTTGTGCATGTTGTATTTTGTATACTGAAATGAATTTGTGCATGTTGTATTTTTTTAGTAATAGATATAGCCACTGCTTTTAATTTACAAGTCATGGTCATGCTTTTACGAGTGGAAACAATTTGTGCATGTTGTATTTCGTATACTGAAATGAATGAAATCATGACAATGGAGAAAGGAGGCTCATCTCTGTTTTCTTGGTACTGCTGGTTTAGTCAAGAATAATAAAGAAGCATGCCCTTTACTTTTGATTTTCTAAGTAATGCTTTTAAATAAACAGTTATGCACAGCCTCCTCTCCGCACTAATTATCATGATATGTTTGAGTTTTTATTGGCTTAATGTGTCTGGCTCAAGATAGGGTGCATAACCCATGGTTATGCACCCATCAATAACCAAATCTGGACCCTTCATTTAGAAAATCCAGATCTAAGGATGGAGAATTAAAGACCATTTTTATTTTCACTAGTTTTCTTAATTGACTCATATCTTTTTCGTTTTAACTCGGATTTTAATTTTTTTTGCACAGATGGAACGAGTTCATCGTGCTCTACAAAATGAGATCAATTTTCAATATTTTTTGAGGAAAAAAAATTCTGGCCTTTCGGTACCAACTGCATACCATATGGTATTTTCTTCGTTTTTCATTCGTTTTTGAAAACGTTTGCACAGCAGGGACGAGTTCATCATGATCTATTTGATCTACAAATTTCTGGGTGAACAAATTACAAGACCAAAAAATACCACACAATACCATACAATACCACCATGGTACGGGGTGGTATTTTATGGTATTTTATGGTATACAATATTAAAAGTCGTAAATGACAATTAATATACTTCTACTATCATGTATTCAATCATCCTACAGTCTTGGTTTGTGCCATACCACCATGGTACGCTTTTCAAACCATAGGTATGCTCTTATTTCAATACCAGTCAATACCATATGGTATAGACTGGTATAAAATGACTCAATTTTTTTTGTTCGAAAAATATATCAAAGTGGATATCATTTTGAAGAGCACAATTAATCTGATCTAACTGTGCAAAAAAAATTAAATTTCGACTTAAAACGAGTGAGAAATCGTCCGTCAAAGATTAAGGAGGGGAAAATTAAAGGCTTTCCAGGAGAGAGAGGATGCTGATGTCATGCTGATGTGGGCGGGTTACTCATAGTTACTCACCATCCATTCCCAATGTGTCTTACCATTCGGTGCGTCTATACAAGAAAGTGCATAATCAGTATTCAAAAGCTAACACGCTCTGATGGACGCTCTGAATTCTCTCGGTACTCTGCCGGCGTCTGATCTGAATCCCTCAGGCAGACCCCCGGACCCTAACCAGTCGTTGACGAGTGGTAAAGAAGCTGAGATGATCGACTCCATCTGCACGAATCTGGCTGGGCAACCTTCCTCAGCAAACGAGACAGAGATGGTGGTAGATCTGACACCACAAAAAGACACTTCGACCCAGCAGGCAACAGACAAGGCGTTGTCGTATGCGAATGTGGTGTTGGGGACTAGCAACGAATCTTCTCAGAATAAGGTGGCCTGGACGGCCGTCGGAGAGCACGACCTAGTAACCGGAAGTTTCAATGGTGAGCCGGAGTTGAAGATCTCAAGTGGCTTCAAAGAGAAGCTCTGCGTACCCTGGCAACGAACACTTGTGGTTCGAGTTCTCGGACTGAATATCTCCTTCCTGACTTTTAGCAACAAGATCAGGAGTCTGTGGAGGCCTTCTGGCGATTGAGATTATGGCTCTAGGACAAGAGTGCTTCCTGATCGATCAAGCTCAACAATGATGCTGATTACTTTCGAGCTCTCACGGAAGGCACTTGGATAATTTTCGATCATTATCTAATTGTTTTTCAGTGGACTCCGGAGTTTCGAGTGTCCGATGCTCTGCCGAGATCGATGGTAGTGTGGATACAATTCCCAGCCTTCCCAGTGCATTTTTACCATAAGGAGATCCTTTTCACGCTTGGGAACATGGTTGGCAGGGCAATCAAGTTAGACTTCCACACGCAACATCAACAAAGAGCGAAATTTGCCCTGATGGCCGTGGAACTTGACCTCTCTAAGCCGCTAGTTACGAGAATCCGGCTGGACGGAAAGTGGCAGTATATTGAGTATGAGAATCTTCCAACCTGCTGCTTCGAGTGTGGCAGAATTGGACACACCTCGCTGTCCTGCCCCTCTCTAACGGCGAAGATACAATCGCCGGTCGCTGAAAGGATGGTCAGTTCACCGGAAAGCTCGCCGGAGATGCTGTCGGAGGAACGTCCTGGTTTCGGGCCATGGATGCAGGTCACGCGGCGATCTCGGAAAGGATCCCGGACATTAGAAAAAGGAAATGTTATTGAGAGCCCCGGAGAATCAGGGGGGAATGGTAAGGCCGGCAAAGGAAAGTTTATACAAAGGGATATGGAAAGCATCAGTGAGAAAAAAAAGGCACAAATCAGAGACTAGAAAACGGCAGGAACGGGGATCTTGTAAAAGGAAAGACAACTGGCACAGATCAGCGTAACGGGAAGGATAAGGCAGGGAGAGAAGCAGCTTCATCCGCCACAGGGGGTAGAGGGTTGCTTGGACCCATCCCGCCCGCCAGAGAAAGCCCAGGCTCACGGCCCAACAATGTTTTAAATCGCTCCGGTTCCTCTGAGGCTGACCCTTCATCCTTTAGGAATGGGCCTGAGACAATTAAAGATGGCGCTGCTGGGCCCAAGAACAAACCTGTCAAAACTATGCTTTTTCCCAACCCGCCCATTGTGCAGACTTCGACAGGCCCCAATGCCACCTCTATTCAGATCGTGGCTGTTCCTTCCATTGACCATCAGAGAGAGACTGAAGCGGCCACCTACTCCCCGTCGGCGGCAACCCGCACCAAAAATGAAAGGAAGAAGAAGAAAATCAAGAATCGACAATCTCCAATGAAGGTTGCCGCCAAAGCTCTCCAAATCTGGACGCCTGTCAAGGAGAAGAAATCCAAGGCTCGATCTAGAATGGCGAATTTGACGCTGCAGCAGATAGCTGAGTGGACCGGGGCGGTGAAGACAGGACAGGCTGATAAACCGACCTCGACCCCGGCGGAGGAGAGATCCCAGAAGGAGACAAATGCTACGGCTGCCCCGATAGTCACCTCGTGATCCCTCTCGAGCAGCGACCGAGCTCTTCTTCCTCTCGCTCCTTTTATTTTATTTAATCTATGTCTGTTTTTCCTGATTTCAACTTTAAAATTTGCTCGTGGAATGTTGGAGGTGCTGGTAGTAGCGCCTTCATTAGAGCGCTTAAGCTCATTGTGGCCACCCATAAGCCTGACATTTTGATTCTCTTGGAACCGCAGATCAGCGGAGAGGTGGCAGATCGGGTTTGTGGGAAGATGGGGTTTCCTAACATTATGAGGGTCGAGGCTGAGGGAAGGAAAGGGGGCCTCTAGTTGTGCTGGGACGCGAGACTCGTGACGGTGGAGCTCATTTCAGCCTGCTTTCAACATCTCACCTTGAAGGTTAAGTGCGCCTCAGCCCCTCATTGGCTCCTAACGGCGGTTTATGCGAGCCCGAGACAGAAACATCAACACTTCTTGTGGCAGGCTATCCATCGCACGGGGGAGGATCACGACTATCCGTGGCTGCTTACTGGTGACTTTAACGCCATCCGCTCCCCCTCGGAACAGGCAGGGAAAGCCACCACTGCTATCATTTGCCGTTGTAAGCGCTTCAACGATAGAATGGACCAAGCGGAGCTCATTGATCTGGGTTACTCTGGGCCGAGGTTCACGTGGACTAGAGGAGAGCCTCCAAATGTTTACAAAGCCAGCCGGCTTGATAGAAGCCTGTGTAACACTTCCTGGAATACCACCTTCCCCAACACCTCTGTCCACCATCTTCCTCGGTTGCATTCGGATCATCACCCAATTCTGACCATGATTGGAAATCAGGGAGTTAACCCTTCCTCTTCTCGTCCCTTCCGCTTTGAAGGAGCATGGCTAACGCATGATTCTTATGGTGATTTTTTGCAGGACAGTTGGGATCCCCAAGTGCCGCTTCAAGAAGCTCTGCGGAAAGTGGCTGGGAAGCTCTCTGAGTGGAATAAAACCACCTTCGGCAATGTCTTTCACAAGAAGAAGAGACTCCTTAGCCGCATCAATGGGATCCAAACCAGAATAGCCAATGAGTTCTCGCCTGGTCTTTTCAAGCTCCAAGCAAAGCTGGAGAAAGAGCTTGATACAGTCCTAGAGCAGGAGGAGATTATCTGGTACCAGAGAGCTAGAGAGAAATGGGTGCAATTTGGGGAGCGCAACACTACGTACTTTCACCAGCAAGCCCTTATCCGGAGACGAAGAAACAAAATTGCTAGCCTGAAAGACAGTAATGGAGAGTGGGTGTCGGACCCACAGGAGTTGGCAGGGCTGGTTTTTGATTTTTTTGCCTCCCTTTACTTGCAGGATGATCAAGAGTACACAGATGATATGCCAAAACAGGCTTTCCCGAGGATTCGGCAGGAGGACATGCTGCTTCTCCTGCGGCCCTTTACGGCTGCAGATATCTACCAAGCTGTGCAGGATATGAAGCCTTATCAAGCCCCGGGACCTGATGGCTTTCAAGCTGTTTTTTACCAGAAATCGTGGCAAGTGGTTGGTAAAGCGCTTATTGACATGGCTATGAGTTTTTTCTCGACAGGGATGCTGCCAGAGGAAGTTGTAGAGTCGACGGTGGTGCTCATTCCTAAGGTGGATCATCCGGAGCTGGCCTCGCACCTTCGCCCGATTTCCCTCAACAATGTGTGCCTGAAAGCGATCACCAAGGCCATCACCAATCGGCTTAAACCCATCATGAGAAAGCTGGTGTCCCCGAGACAAATCAGCTTCATCCCTGGGCGCCAGACCACTGATAACATCATAGTGCTTCAGGAGGTGCTTCATTCTCTAAGAAAGAAGAAGGGCAAGAGAGGAGGGATTGTCCTGAAGATTGATCTTGAGAAAGCATACGACCGCCTGCGATGGGATTTTCTTAGGGATACCCTCAAGGAGGTGGGACTGCCGAGCTCATGGATCAATTGTATCATGTTTTGTGTTGAGCATAACAAGATGAGACTGCTTTGGAATGGCGAGCTCTCAACCCCGATCATGCCGACTCGAGGAGTTCGTCAGGGAGACCCTCTCTCGCCCTATCTCTTTGTTTTATGCATGGAAAGATTGTCTCATAGGATTGATCAAGCCATTCAGGATAAACTCTGGAAACCCCTGAGGTTATCCAAAGAGGGCCCTATGATATCTCACCTTTTCTTTGCTGATGATCTTATTCTCTTTGCAGAAGCAGAAAGCTCCCAAGTTAGGATCATCAAACAATGCCTTGATGAGTTTTGCCAGAGTTCAGGGCAAAGAGTCAACTACAACAAATCTGCCATCTTTGTCTCGGCAAACATTGACAGGAGGAGGGCGCATCGTCTAGCTTCAAGAGCGCAGATTCCACTCACAGTAGACCTGAGGCGGTATCTTGGAGTGATGGCGATCCATGGTCGAGTTACAAAGAATAGATATCGGGATCTGGTGCTTCGGATACAGAAGAATCTCGCCCCCTGGAAAACAAGACATCTCTCCCTGGCAGCTCGGATCACGGTGGTGAAATCTATCTCTGCTTCTATTCCTATTTACCCTATGCAAACAGAGCTCCTCCCTATGAATGTTTGCAGGTCGCTTGATAGGATTAATAGAGGTTTCATCTGGGGGGACACAGAAGCCAAGAAGAACCTCCACTTGGTGGGATGGCCTCAGCTGCTCCTGCCAAAGAACAACGGAGGTTTGGGTATCAGGTCAAGTAGAGAAGTGAACCTGTCCATGCTTGCTAAAGGCTGTTGGCGAATCATTCAGGAGAAAGATAGCCTGTGGGTCCAGATGGTTCGTGCAAAATATGGAGGAAACCGGCAGCATCTGGATGTTCTTAAGCGCGTTCAGGGAAGTTCCTTTACCTGGGCTAGCTTTACTAAAGCAGCTGATCTACTTAAAAAAGGTTGCGCCTGGAATATTCATCGGGGAAATAAGACTAAATTTTGGTCGGATAATTGGATTTTGCAGGAACCTCTGCATGAGCTGGCGACGGGGCTGATTCCAGAGGAAGACCGCCTTGGCTACAGAGGAGGTTCAGCACCTGATAACAGCCCACGCTGTTGACCCCTTGGCTACAGAGGAGGACAACCTTTTTTGGGCTCCAACGGCAGATGGCCGCTTTACAACGAAGAGCGCGTACCAAATCCTTCAGGCTGCTCCCGTCAGTGCTCAACAGAATTGGTGGAAAACCATCTGGCATCTCACCGTTCCCGAGCGAGTTAGATGTTTTATCTGGTTGCTTGTGCAGGGCAGGGTGAGCTCGAACGAGCTCAGAGCTCATATGCGGCTAACTCAAGAGGACTCCTGCTACAGATGCTCTTCACAGACAGAGAACCTTTCTCACATCTTTCAAAGATGCCCACCGGCAGCCTTCTTTTGGCATCGAACTGTTCCTGGAGCAGCTCATCACGAGTTTGTCAGCCTTCCTTGGGAGGAGTGGTTACACCGCAATCTGACCAGCAAAGAGACAACTGATACAGGACTCCCTTGGGACGCCTTCTTCGGGATTGCTCTTTGGTGTTTGTGGAAGAACAGAAATGAAGGAGTCTTCAAAGGTATTCACAAGACCCTTTCGGCACCTTCTCTTATGCAGTCTATCAAGATTAAAGCAGATTTGTGGATTCGGGCTTGGAATGCTCCAACTTCGCATGGTGGAAGAGGGAACCCAGCACCGAACCGAGTGATGATGGACATAGGGTGGCAGCCGCCACCGGCAGGTTGGACGAAAGTCAACGTTGATGGGGCAGCAGGAGGGAACCAGGGGCTGGCCGGGGCTGGAGGAGTGGTTCGCAACTCTAATAGCTGCTGGATAGGTGGATTTGTCTCAAGTTTGGGGACTTGTTCGGCTACTTTGGCCGAGCTTTGGGCTATTTATCATGGGTTGAGACTCGCGTGGAATTTAGGCCACAGGACCATCATCATTGAGTCAGATTCGCAGTTGGCCATTCAACTGGTGAAGAACAGAACTGACCCTCTGCACCCTTATGCTGCTCTTCTCTCGGCCATCAGGAGGAAGATTGCTCTAGATTGGGTGGTGAACCTGGTTCATACTTACCGAGTGGGGAATAGAGTCGCGGACTGGCTCTCGAAGCACAGTCTCGTCTATCCCTACGGCATGTATGAATTGGAGGAACCGCCGCAAGAGCTCCTTCCCATTTTGCAGGATGATCAACGAGGGATTACGTTCCCTAGAAACGTAGTGGACACCTCTCCCATCTCCCCCACCTGATTCTTTCCCCCTTTCAGTTTCTCCTTCTTTGGCCTTGTGCCTCCTGTAATGCAAAAAAAAATGTGTCTTACCATTCTAAGGAAGGAGATAAAATTTCACATTCATTCAGATTCAATTATGTCGTGGGACAACAAT